CGTCTCTTCCACGACTCAATTACTCAAAAACTCATAATAATACCTAGCATCGACCTAGGTCAGTCTGGTCTCGATTCCGGACCCGGTTACATTCATGGATGGACTCGGCCCGGGTGGCCTGACCCGGAACCGGCCCGAGACCGGTACTGTTCCAGCCCGGCTCGACCCGGTGGCCCGGTCAGTGACCGGTCCGGGTAGGCCCGGCCCGTGGGTTTTCCGGTCCGGGCTCGGGTCACCCAAAACAAGGCCCGACCCGCCCTGGCCCGGGCCCGATTCGAGCCAAAAACTTTTTTTTATCAATTTTTTTTAAATTTTCGGGTTGGGCTGGGTATTTTGGGCCATTTGGGGTGGTTTGGGGGGTTGGGGGTGGGAGGGGGGTTAATTAGGAAGAGGAAAACAAAAAAAAAATATAATGGGCCCGGCCCGGACCCGGACCGGACCCGGTGGTTACCCGGTCCGGTCCCGGGTCCACCATTTCTGACCTGCCGGCCCGCCCGAGCCTAGGCCCGACCCGGACCCGGCCCAGACCCGAGTCCATCCATAGTTACATTATTTCTTTTTTGCCCGGTTCGAAGGCTGAAACAAAATAAATAAATAAATAAATAAATAAATAAATAAATAAATAAATAAATAAATAAATAAATAAATAAATAAATAAATAAATAAATAAATAAATAAATAAATAAATAAATAAATAAATAAATAAATAAATAAATAAATAAAACAAAACTCCCGGTAAGGACCGAAACTGGGGCCGCCCGGTTTGGTCCCCATATCGGTGAACCAGGACCGGGTACCCTACATGGACGGGCATGGAGGGTCCTAGGATTTAAACCGGAAAAAACGGGCCCAATTTGTGCCAAAACAGTACCGAACCCTGTTACTGACCGCACCTAATAAGTCTTCATACTTAACATCACTGGCAATTAGACATGTCAGTCATTAGATTCCAATAATTATCAACCACCAAAAATCCAAGATACATATATTATTACTATTACTATTATTATTATTATTATTATTATTACAAGCCAATTTTAAATGGCTTTTTCTAACTGCAATACTAATGAGGAATGGATTGCAGTCTCCTCATTTACATTGAAAAATAGCTATATAACATATGGTCACCTGCTCGAAACCATCTCATATACGGCCTGCTGCCCCATGCAATGTTACAATCAACTTCCGATTCGTAGTTTACCTGTTGCAGGTTCTTATGACTGGAGTAGGTGCATACACAGTGAGCAGTATATTTTTCTTCATATCTCTAATAATCTTTCTGAACCATTAGAACTATACTTCCTGTTTTGTCACCAGTTACATTTCTAGCCTATCCCACAAATAAATGTCAGCCTCCACGAGTTGCTCTCATCTCTAACCCAAACGGTAGAAATAAGCACCAAGGAAATCCCCTTTGCCATGGAGAGATCTTTATGGCACTCACTCGTAAGCTTTATTCATATGTCCGCTTCCTCTTTAGTAGAGTTGGTAATATAATGACAGAACCAATAAGGAAAAGAACCACCAATGTTTTGAAATCATATAAGTCTTTGACTGATCTTAAATCCCCAAGAGCAAGGCCAGCCTGATTATCCAATGTACAAACAGCACCGCATAAGCTTGAGATTCAAAAGCATTATCACTAATAACAAAAGATTTTTCTCATTTGAACTGTCAGTTTTCATCTTAACAAATCACCAATTTTAAAAAGAGAGGTAGCAAGCGTAATATAAGGTCAAAGTCAAAAGTTTCTAAGCTGGACGCAATGCAGTGCAGCTAATCAATGAGTGGTAAAGACTCACTTACTCTGACAGTAATAAATGAGGCAGGAATAAGACCAATCACTGTGGCCAGAAAGAAAATATGGAATGGTATATCCACTATAGGAGACGCCAAATTGATAAAAAGGTTCGGCAGGGTTGGAGTTACCCTCAAAAACAGCATGTAGTTGAGTAACTTATCCTTGCGTTTGGCTATCTACAATTACAATATTAATACTGTTAGTAATAATTATCAAGAAAAGCGTGTAGTTGAATAATACAGATACGTGGGTCACCATTTGCAACGATCATCACAATTACCTCAGATTGGAAAAACCTCAACTTATCAGGCCATAGTGATGTAACTATAGGCCTTCCAAGTAATTTAGAAAGAAAGTAGCAGGATGATGCACCAGCTGTGGCATTGAAGACAACCAAGAAAAGACCTCTAAGAACACCAAAAAGCGCTCCGGCTAGTAAGGACATAAAAATAGTCCCAGGAATCATGAAGGTCTGCATGAATATGTATGTTGAGCAGTAACCCAAAATGAACCGTGCTGGGTACATATCGGCATATGTAGCTAAGTGGTCCCTGAAAGATTGTGGGAAAATAATAAATGTGCTTACTTGACATATAAGATTAAGAATATAAACCATGGGCTTAAAAACTTATGCAGATAAAGGTTGGCATAAATATCTTACCAAAGAATTACTGCCGTACAGGTGAAAAATTAACAAGTCATGTGTGTCTAAAGTCTAAGTGGGTTAAAGGCTAATAGCGTCTACACAACTTCTATTCCAAATGAATAGAGAAAGGGGAAGACTGAATCTGTAGGTATCGGGACTATCATCAGATCCTAGAAAGTGTGAAAGCCATTCAACACTAACATAAAGCATCTCATCTTTTTCGTCTAAGTATGTAGATCATCAATTACTACCTCTAACTGAAAAAAAAAACTAGCCTCCAGGAAAACATAATGAGTTATTGAAAACGGTAGAACCGTAGAACCAAATCCATGCTATTCCTTTATATGCCCAACTTGAGGTAAATCAAGTCAACCATGCATTCAGACTTGAAGTCTTGAACATCAACTCTCTTTCTTTAGGAGGTACACCCTACGTCCCATTTTTAAGATAAACTTTCCTTTTAGGATTGTCCCAAAAATATGAATACTTTAAAAACAGTAACTTTATCATTTATTTTCTTAAAACCCGGGCCAACCCTAAGTGCATCTTATACTCTATTATGGAACGGAGGGAGTACAAAATATCATTGGGATCAGTATGACTTGAGCATTAATGGAACTTATACATTAGCAGGGACATTACGAGCAAGGGAAGAAAAGGTTCTCCTTTTAAAGATAGAATTGTCCCCACAGAATTGATATACAAGTGCAAAGCCAAGCAACTTTGGCTTAAGCACAAACGACCACTCATAGTATCGAAGTAGTAAATAGGTTTAGACTGGCTATCACTATAATGACATCATGAAGCCAAAACAAGTTCACATTGCATTAGGTATCAATTACGCTCTCTACAATCTAGAGCCAGATTGTGGTGGCGAGAAGTAACAGTTAAGAGAAATTTAGTGTCACAAAACTTTGAGAAGTGGTTGGGAGGTCTTAAAACTAATTAATATCATAAGAACCTTAGCCCAGGCTTCCATAATTTCACTCTGAAAAACTGATTATCATTTGAATTTCAATTTTTTGTTTTTATCATTTGAATTTTTTGTTTTTTTGTCTCTCATGTATGACACATGATTCTTAGAATCAACTTCTATCATATAAATATGTTCTCCCTACTCACCCTACAGCATAAAATTCTCTTCTACTGATAATACTTATGGTCAAATGTTTAGCTCTTAAGAAGTACCCATACTTGAGCATCCGGAGATCCGAAATGTTACGAGGAAGCTTGAGCTTCCCGTAATCAGCAGCAGGCATTGTCAAGTAGATGCAGAACAGCCCGGTCAAGCACACTGTGAACACGGCAAGAGCCGCCGCGAACTCCCAGCGGCTGAGAGGGAACTTTCCCTCTTTGAATCGTTTGGCCGAAGGAGAATCCCCTGCATAGGTGTCGGACAAATCGAGGATCTTTTCCTCATCCCTTGCTAAGCGCCCCGTATCCACAGCCAAACTCCTCGGCGCCGCCATTACTAAGCGTAACAACAGACGAGGGCGATCTGGATGGTTGTGATAATCCAAACAACGCCCTAGGCTTCACCCATGGGACTTTCCTAGGGTTCGTTGATAATGAGGAAACCAATCAACCTAGGATTTGCGATTTACAAAGCAACGAAACAGTGAACTTTCTCCAAAAGAAAAAAAAACAAAATAGGGGTTGCAAAAGACCGAATTTTTAATGGAAAGATAGAAATTGGGAGCTGAATTTGGAGGCAAGCAGGAGGAGAACTTGGTTGAAGTGTTATGAACTCGGATCTCCCAATACGGGTTTCTTATCAATTGATTTTTTCTTCAAGTTGGCATTATGTCAATATGTCATGAAGGTCCGAATATACTTTTTCTTTAAAAAGGTAGAGCCATAAGGAGCTTTGAGTGAAAAGATGGAAGTTTCTGCCACCGCTCATACTTTTTTAAAGTAATATTAGCTCTGTCCGAATGTATTTGCACCCCTTAATCTAAACGAGAAATAAAAATAGTAAAAATTGTGTGGTTCAATTTTGTGTAGAGGACAAAGAAATGAGTAGAATCACAAAATAGTTACTTTAATGGGAAATTGACAAAAAATTTTGGGACAACCAAAAAAGGAAAGATGACAAAGTCCAGTAGGACGGAGGGAGTAATTATTTTAAAGTGGTTTTAAAGAATACGAATTACTCCCTCCGTAGTTCTTCCTAAATTGACTTGGCTCGCAAATTTAGATAGTGGAAATAAAGTGGAAATGTATGGTTGTAGTTTTGTAAGAAAAAAATGAATGAATGTGAACCACATATTTTTTCCAAAAGTGGAAGTTGGATGAATTAATTGGGACGGTCCAAAAAAGAAAGTTGGAAGAAATGACCGGGACGGAGGAGTACCAAAATTTTGTACTCCCTTCGTATATATTTACTTGTCTCACTTTCCTTTTCAGGACTTATAAAAAAATGTCTCATTTCTCTTTTCCACTTACCCCATTATTTCCTCCACATTAAATCCCCATCCCACCCAACCATATCATCCGCCCCACCCGTCCCTATTAATTCGGCCATTATCACCACATATCTCGAAGCATCCATCTCTCACTCTTTCAAATCGTCTCTCCATTTTTCTGGTTTATCTTTATCTTCGTCGCTCTGGTCTGTCCATCTCTCTGGTTTTTCTCTCAGTCCAACATGTCCTCACAACCCTCCTCTTCGTTCCGGCTCTATTGTTTGCCACCTTATCCCAACCATGTTTCTCATCTCCGACCTACGAAACCACCGTTCCTTTGCATGGATCCGTATGACTCCGATGAACTGATACTGCTTGAACAAGGGCTTTACGAAGATTGTCCCTCACCTCCTTCAGAGAAATCAAAGGAAGGCCTTGTTTTGAGTAATGTTGCCATTCGCCTAGCGGATCCGGTGGTCGACTCGGATTTGGAGTCCCAAAGCACCGATTGTCCAGGCTAGACAACTTTGTCAAAAACTTACCATGTCTGGCCTCTCCGGAGATTATTTGGGTTTGATTTGGTGGAGGATAGCTCTTACGGGTTTGGTGACACAAATTCCGACGAGGAGGAGGTCGACTCGAAGGAAAGGGTTGGTCCATGGGATGAATTCGGTGTGGATATTCCGTAAGGGGTGTATTCTTAATCTCTACTGTTTATTTGTGCATGATTGTGTGGTCATATTCCTAACCCATCATCTTTACTCCTGTTGTGCATTATCTACTGTCCATATTCCATCAGCCTAATCTGTATTGTTGAATTACTCCATTGTTATTGTCAACATGATTTTGACATTATGAAATTACTAAATTAATTGTGACCAAAATGTGGGCTAATACACTGTTAAATCAAAAAATAAAGACCTACTCCTCTATGCAAAAATATGGAATATTTGTACATGGTCTTGCAAAAAATTGTTTTAAACCAAACTTTAACAACAAAAGTCAAAACTACCAGTGTGTACCCCTTTTGTAAATTGGTCCATTTTGTTACGCATCAACCATTTCTCCTTCCTCCACTCCTTGTTGCTCCATTGAACCTTGTTGCAAGTAGTTCATACATTCCCACACTAGTAGTGGGGAGGAGCCAATGAAAGTGTCAGCATGTTAAGCCTTTGTAATGACTTCTTGCCTATGTGAACTTGTTCACATGCATTGCCTCCCCTAACCTTCATTACTTCAATCATGCATAACTGTAAGCTTAGAAATGCATGATTCAAGGAATGAAGGTTGTATGCAATGAATGAATACTTGTAGTTCTGGACAAGTTCAGAGAAATTTGTTGTTGAGCATTTATCCTTTAAAGACTGAATAGCCCGGAATAGGCCCACACCAAGGATATTCAGATCCAGGTTGTTTGGTGGTTGATTGATTACTGCACATCCATTCCCATCTGGTCAACTGCCAATCTGAATTCATTGTCATCTCCCCTTATATGGGGCCTTGCATTGTCTTGTTGGATGTATATTGTCTTGTGATCATCTGGTGGCCACTTTTCATGCACTACATGTAGTAGTTTTTTGCTGATCATGTTTCTGTATGAATCTTTGTTCAAAACTATTATTGGCTTTAGTTCTGGTGTGCCTTGGATCTGTTTTTGCTTTTCCTTTGTGCCTGCACCATTTGAACAAAAGGTCACATCCCTATCTTCCCATCAGAACTGCATTTACCTACCTCATTGAACCCAGTCTTGGCTACTGCACATAAGAACATAACTTTTCTCTATGAACCTTTTGCTTTTGGTTGTTCTGTATGGTTCTATTTCACTGGGTACCAGATAATACTTCTGGCTACCTTTGGCTATATAGAACCTGATAGAGTATATCTAGAGAGAAGTGAGAGCTAGAGAGAGAAGTGCAATAATATGCTTCAATAGAATGAATTTGTAACCCCTATAACTACTCCCAAGGGGAGTATTTATAGAGAAAATACGGGCTGGGCTCCCAAGCCTTGGGCTTGGGAGGCCCATTTACAACTTGACCGCTACTGGGCCGAATACAAAGTCACTAATGGGCTGTACAAATGAGTAAGTGTAAAATCCGGTTCTGGGAGGTCTTCGTGACCGATGAGGGCGTGGCCGACGAGGGCACGGCCGACGAGGGCACGACCGACGAGGGCACCCGGGTTCTTTGGGCTGAGGACCATAATCTGAGTTGGCCCCCTTTTCGGCCGACGGGGGCGTCTTGGCCGACGAGGGTGCCACTCCGTGTCTTGCGCTTTCTGTTCCTCCGAGTATGTGGGTCCGGGGGCTCAGACCCATATACTCCATCAGAACCATTTCTCGTCTATGTGGATAATGTTGAACATTTCAGCAAACACTGGACTTTCTACCATTGGCTCAACTTTGAGCTGTGATAAGCACCATTGCAGCCTACTTATTTTGTTGTCAAGGGTTAAGAAGGACTTGATTGCATTTGAGTGGGGATTTATTTATCCCCTCTTGAGTAATCTATGTACAGTTGATGCAGGAACACCTAAAGCTGTTGTAGTGCTTCTAATAGAACTCCTTTGATGGAACGGAAGGGTTGACAGTGTGGCCATGTCCACTAATTTGGGCTTCCTTCCACACCTTCCCTTTCCGTTTGAGCTATGGTTGACGGGTTCTCCTACAACCCTGCATGTTTGTGACACTTTCCATATCTTGTACACTATTCGGCGAGAGATGCCAAAAGCATTCTTAGCATCTGTGAATCCACCTCGTTTGACCCTTCCACTGACTATCCTTTGATTGAGGAAGTCCAGTACAGCTGCACGATCTGCAGGTTTCAGGTTGGGCTTTTTGGTTGGCATTGGTGTTTGGATTTCTGACCTGGAACTATGACTTTGGTCTTGGACGGCTTGGAGATAGCAACCACAGTAATATCCTTTGCTATTGGAAGGCTTCCAGGTAGCAACCAGGCCTAAATGCCCTATACGATGACAACTTTACCTGTTTAAAGGCCATCAAATGCCCCCCCCCCCCCCCCCCCCCCTCCCCCCGATGATGACAACAAGTCTGAGAGGTTTTCCTCATGTCTAAGAGGGGTGTACTTCATCTACGAATCCACCATTTTTTGGGACCAAACTCATCGGTCTGATTGTATTTATACAAGTGTGAAATTCTTGGAATTATTGTGGCTCCAAAACTAAAAATTTGGCGCCATTATGCTGGCAGTGTACCCCTTCTACGAATTGCTATAGTGTATTGTCCATTTTTTATGCGTAGTGGCCACAGTGCACATTTGTAAGTGTTTGGTTTTTGCTATAGTGCTCATTGTATATGGGTTTCGGTTATGCTATACCTCATATTTTAATCATCTACAATGTTTTTTACTTTATCTACAGTACACCTATATTTCTGCATAAACTACTCAAAAAGTCTAATGGGTCATCTAAATAGATACGGAGGGAATACTATTTTAACATTTGTATTATTTAAATTTTTATTATTTAAAGTTATAGTAAATCTCGTTCAAAAAAAGTTATAGTAAATCCATAAAAAAAATGCGGCGCTGCGAGAGAAAAAACATAGCGGTCCTCCTCCTCTGGAACCACCTCCGTACTAGGAAGAGTTCTGTGGAAGGTCTTTATTTCAATATTATTTTGTATTTAGTAGTAGTTGTTTTTATTTTAGTCCGAGTATGTTTGGTTTGGATGTTTGGTTTTTTGAAGTTCTTTTGATAGGCAGAGTTTCAGTTTTAGTCGGTTTTAGGCTTGAATTTGCTCGTTTCAGGTTTAGCGAGTGAGGTTGCTTTGTATGAGGTGACCAACTCTATGTCTACTCCAAGGGTTTACCATTGGATCTGTAAAATCTGTCTGAAAGTTATCTTGTATGTGTTATCGATTTTAATATAAAAGCTGCTCTTTTGTGATAAAAAATTGTACTATTTGAGAAAAATACGGACTATATTTATGTATCATCAGAAAAAGTGAAAACAATTCAAAGCACACACCCTCAGCTCTCCTACTTCTAGATTTTAACATTTAGGTGCTCAGTGATATTTTTTTGTACATAAAAAAGCGGACGATCCCTAACTTAGAGTTTAGGTTTTTGCGCAGCTTTTCTTGCGCAGCTTCACGCCAGCGAACGAAATCGTTCGTCATTTTTCCGGCAGGCCTCACAGCCACACCGCGACACAAGGGACAAGGAATAGAATGGCCACTTTCGCATCAAACCTTGTTACTTCCGAGAATGTATTCGTGATGGCAGAAGGTTACAACCAAAAAGAAATCGAGACACTAGCGCAGATGTATGGACAAATGGAGATGAAAGAGGAGGATGAGTTTCTAGTGGTGGAACCTATGGTTTCGGGTACATCCAGTTCAAACCTATCTCTGGTCGACAGAATTACGTCAAAAAAATTGATACCTTTCATTAATTTTTGTGATATTATGGCTTCAGTGTGGAAACATGTTAAGGGTGTAACAATCACATAGTTAGGATTTAGACGACATATATTTCAATTTTATGATGAAGATGATATGAGTAAGGTTGTAGAGGATGGACCATGGATCTACGATCAAATATTAATTGTCATGAGTAAATTGAAAGAAGGAGATATACCCATGTTTGTCCCTCCAAATAGAGCAGAGTTTAGGATTCAAGTCTATGACATACTGGTTGGTTATTTTACTCTGACTAATGCAAAACTAATTGGTAATTTTTTGGGATGCTTTATCAATGAGGATGTGCACAACTTTTCTGTTAAATAGAATCTGTTTATGAGAATGTGAGTCAGTCTTGATCTAGGTAATCCTCTGAAAAGGAAATTGTTCCTGCAAAAGGAAGAGGGAATCAACTATTGTGTCAATTTTCGATACGAGAAATTGCAAAACTTTTGTTCTCTCTATGGAATAATAGGACATGCAGAGAGTCACCGCCCTCGTAAGAGGGAAGGAAGTGAGAGAACTGGAGAGAGACCTTTCGGTCTGTGGCATAGGGCAGCAAAGCGCTACACGCAAATGAGTGAAAATAAATGGCTAGTTCCGGCGGGCAAAGGGCACAACAAAAGCGTATCGGCAGAATTCAGGGTTCGAGCTAATGACAAGCAAGAGGATACTTTTAAGGGCAGAGAACCAGCAGGTCAGGTGAAAGTTTGAGCAAAAGCGAAGACGTATTCAGGAGTCAGGGGATCTCTCTTATGACAAGGAAATGGAGGTGGAGCAGGCCAGGACAAAAAATGGGGAAGAGGCGAGCTGTAACTCTGTGGCTCGCCTAGCACAGAACTTAGCCATTTCCAAACAATACACGAGAGGAGTGGAGGAATGGGAGATCACAAGACTGTTTACTTTTATCGTTTTCATTTAATTTTCATTAAAAACTTTTGCTATGATATTTTTGTGAACAATAGCGGTAGGTGTTTTAATTTTGGGACTACTTCCCGTACTGGTTTTATAGGTGAAAGAGATAAGGCCTATGTGGCCACTAAGAGCTTCAAAGCTCTCACATGTTTATCAATTAGTCGCGCTCATAATTGGGTGGTCTATTTTGTGTTTAATCAGAGAGTGAAAGGATCGTTTGGCTATGCGAAGTCTAATAGGGAGGCTTGGTTTTATCGTGGTTGTGGAGACGTCTGTTTCTTTGATATTTATAATATAAGATATTTCCTTTATAAAAAAGCTTTAGGTGCTCACATTGAGCGGAAGTTATCACGAAAGAACTTGTTTCAGTTTCTTAAACTAAAAATTGAAAAGCATTTTTTAAGTTGTTTCAAACACGTGGCCTCTAAGTGGAAGTGGTTCAACCAGACAACTCTCACCTGCAATCAATCAATTGAGAGGGGAATTTGAATTTGAAATCATTTTCTCAAACGACGAGTCTAGTCACCGTTGTTTTACGAGAATCTGGGGACACGCACATTCAACGATTCAAGCGTGACTTCTTATGTACTGTCAATCGACTTAGGTTTATTAATGTTTGGGTGCGTTCTTGGAAGTCCATTATTTGTCTAATTAAGTTGAGATAACCTGATGCTAACAGAAAAATTGAATAGTTTAAGGCTGAAGTCATTAGTGGACTTGAGACACTTAGGAAAAAAGTTTAACA